TTGCATGGATCTTATACATGCTGACACCATTGCTGTAGGTTCTTATGAACAAGGTCCCAGGAGCCTGTAAGACTCTGTTTCCATATGGTCATGCACTTCCTCCCCTGGCTTTTACAATCTTTCAGCCCCCTCTTCTACAATGGTCCCTGAGCCCTGGGTGGAGAAGTTTAATATAGGAGTCCGGTCCAAGGTCCCACACTCTGAGGACCTTTTGTATTCATTGCCTTCTGTTGCATGAGGGAGCTTCCTTGGGGAGAATTGAGAGATGTTCTGTGAGCCTTAGGTGTAGCAGTTCGATTGTAGGTGTGTCATTTAGGGTTGGACATCTTACAGACAGGTATTCTCTGTATGTGACCAGTTATAGAACTCTATAATAGTCTCTGTCTATTGTAAAAGAAGCTTCTTGGATGAGTGGTGACTTGGATACTTGATTGTAAATATAAGGATCCATATTTAGCACATAGTAAGAAATTACATTTGTCTAGAGATGTGACAGCCTTAGAACTTTAAGATCTATGACCTCTCCATCCATGTGCATTTGGCTATGTTTACAGTATCACATACGTGTTCCCTCCCATTCAGTGGGCTTTAAGTCCAATTAGGCAGCTGTTGATTACCCTCAAGATAAAAGTGCCACTACTGCCCCAATATAGTTTGCGGTGCCAGTCGTTGTGGTTATTAGACCTTAGAGCTGGGGTTAGATCATTGATGTTCTCCAATGGCAGCTTGTACAGTATCCTCCATAACTATGAAAACTAGCCTTCAGGGTGGTGACTTTCAGGTCAGTTCCAGCTCCATTGCCAAATCCTGTTTCCAAAGTATGTCCTGTCTTCAGCAATAGGGTCTTACCTTCAAGTTCTGGGAGGCAATAAAGGGCTGCGGCAATAGCCTTTGTAAATTTGGCAGTCTTTTGGACTCCCCTGGCCAACAACTCAAAGGGAGGAGTCTCCTGTCTGTCCCATTTTTTGCTATACAGCCTTTAGCTATACACATGGACTCGTGTAGAGATATTGTATGTGTAATTTTTCAGTAGACTTTTGAACTAATACATTTCCCTCTGGTTTTTCACACCAGCTAAGCATTATTTATCTCTACCCTCACTCTCCCTTTCTAACCCTCTTCCTTCTTCCACAGTTAAAGTACCTCCATTTTTTTCCATTTCTCCTATGATCCCCTGTCTCTTGAGTTCCTTCTTCCCTTTACCCCCATGGTTCCTTGTATAACTCTCCCTCTTTCTCTCCCAGTTAAATATCACCATTTTACCCATTTCCTGCATGGTAACACCTGTCTCTTACTATTCCTCTCTCTCAGACTCCTTCTTTCCCTTTACCTCCATGTTTTCTTTCCATTTTCCTGGCTCTTGCAGTTACATCAGGATATATTCTCACATATAAGGATTTGGGGCTAAGATCTACAAATGAGAATGAACATGCACTGTTT